TAGTGGCAATTAGCTCAAATAGATCCAATATTTGTTGTACTGATTTTCCTATGATCGATCCACCCGTAGAGGAATCCACATAAGATTTTGACAGTGGTGAGAGTCTGGTGTAGAAGTACTACACTTGATTACCAATTGTGATTCCATGATTTGGACACTTTCGCATCAGCTCTTTGAATCTATTATATGCCTCGTGATAGTTCTTTCCATCTTTCTGTTGGAAAGTTTGAATTTTCAATCTGATTTTAACTACTTTCGCCGATGGAAAGAATTTATTGCAGAATTTTCTGGTCAATTATTCCCATATAGTAATGCTTCCATGAGGTTCAGCGTCTAAACACTCCAATGCAGAATCTCTTAGTGTATATGGAAATAGTCGCAACTTAATAGCGTCTTCATTAACCCCTAGAGCATGGAAGTTCTGACAATTTCTGAGAAATCGAGAGATATGTGTGTTCGGATTTTCATGAGGTAACCCGTAGAATTAGATAATGTTGCTCATCAAATTGATCCACTCCGCCCTTATTTGAAAATTATTTACCCCGAAATCTGGATACACAATACTGGAATGCGTGGATGCGGCTATTGGCGTCAAGAACATTGAAACTGACAAGTCTCCTTCGTTTATTTCCCTTTGCTTATGCTGCCGATCTGGTAGCGCCACCACTCTTGCCGCCACTTGTCCAATTGGCTGAATATGAATAGGAATATTTTGACCATCAGTCATTTGATGTTGTCTTTGTTTGTGTTACTTGCGTCTTCGTCTGAAAGTACGTTCTATTTTCAAGTCAAATGGTTCAACATCGTCGCTTTGGGTACGGAGCATACAATGAACATTTTTTTTTAAAATAAAAAAAAGTAAAATCAAATCAAATAACAATTGAAAATAAAATAAATTAAGATGAAAAGTAAATAATTCTCGATAGCGATGCCAAAAACTTGTTGCATTTTTTTTATCGCAAGTGTACGATATCGTAACAAGTAATACAGTGAACCTTTGAGTTAAAGGGAATCAACGACCATATTTGGTCCAACAAAGCAATACCCAGAATGATAACCAATTAAAGCATTTTGAATCACCAATTTAAGGTCAAAAGTTTGTAAAGAAATTACGAGTAATGTGACTTAAAGTAAGCAATGCAAGTCAGATTACCAAAACAGTAGTTCAACAGAGCAATGTAAGTCCTGTTTCAACAATTTAATTAAAGCATAAAGGTCTGTGCAGGGAATATGTTAATAAGAAGCCTACCCCCAAAAAAGTAGCAATCAAAAGAATAATTCCTGTTATCCATGCCAGGGTCCTTCTAACCAATATCACTCCTGCAATAGTGGTTAAATTAAAAAGGACTTTTGTTTCCTCCAACAGACGTGGAGATGGTCGAGAAGTGACCACTACATTTATCATATTCTCCGATTCTGGGGTAATTGTTTCACCATAGATAATGAATCCAACAATCTGACCTGCTCATGTAATACAAGATATTAGTTTCTATGATGCACAATGACGCGAAAAGGACTTGAAAAAAATAATAAATAGAGAATGTCATCGGCTAACTGCAGAATGATAATAGTTGAGAACTACACAAATAGAAGAGAACTGCTAACTTTTTAGCAGTATTATTAATTAATAATTGTCAGAAGGTAATCAATCAAACATTTCAACATACTACATGTATGGGAAAGCAACAAAAATATAGCCTAATCTCTGACTCCGATAAAGAGAGAAAAAATGAACAATCAATGTACGACTGAAACAGCTAAACATCATTTTATAGTTGTGATCAGAAGAGACCATCAGACCTTTGTATGCAGCCTGCAAGGAATCAAATGTCTTAGAAACTGAAGTAAGAAATAATTCTAGGCCATTCTTAGCAATGCCTTCTGCTCCATTGTTCTTGCAACACCTGTGAGGCATAGCATAAATATATAAGCACAAAACCTGACTCGAAAAGTGTGTAGCAGATGCCTAATTATTAAGCATTCAGAACTATTATATGTGTTAAGTTACCTGTTCTAAACTCAAAGTGGTGCATCCTTGCTACTTCAAACATCGACTTCACCTATATGAATCTTTGACATCATTAGCTGGGGTTTTCTCAGCTTATATAACATAAGTTCCCTTGATCTTTTCAAGGATGCTCAAGAGAAAGGTCTGGAGCGAATCGATCTCTTTCACACACACATGGAGTACATATAAAAAGGTTGAAAGAATTCCCAAATAAAAATGATCGTTAAATATAATATCGTGGGCTACATATGGAACGCAAGAGAGGGAAAGAATAGATCCAACAAGCTAGATGATAGAACTGAAAGAAAGACCTAGGATGTAGAAGATCATGCCATGAGTGATTCGATCTCAACTTCACTGAGGAATCAGTGATCCATTTCAGATGTGCCTCATCATATATGTTTTCTCATACTAATACCATTGTGGCAAAAATAAACAACAAAAATTCTCCCAGAATATTGGAAATGTATATATTCCATCAGTACCATTTTCTCCCCCAGATGCATCAAATTCTATCTTCAGATACTCAGTTTTAGTAAAAGCAAAACATGCAGAAAACAAAATGAAGAATCTATTAACGTCTTACTACAAGCATAAATTAACTTAAAATGTTCAAGCAAATTAAGTAGACTGGGTTTTAGTTAACTTTAACTCTTTTATGAATCAATGTGGTTCCTCCTGGATAACTTATCCTCATTCCTTAAGTAACAATAAGCAAACTCCTATCCCAACTTCTGAAATGAATCAAAAAGAAGGAATTTTTTATCACCTTAATTCCATCAAATCTCCCAGCAATTAGCTCAGCCGGACTATGCAGACTTTCAGACAACCCCTGATGCATGTCTATTGCTCTTCGAATATTATGAATGAGAGATACAAGACTTCTTATGAATTCCTTGTCAGCATTCTGCCATGTTCAAAAGAAAATTCTTTATCAAAATTTAAACCAAAAACTAAAGAGACAGTAATGAATGCTCAAGAAGTCGTTATTGCTAAGATTAGACATAAAAGATTGAATTTGAAGAATAACCTTAGACATGAAAAGTCTTAGATTGGCACCATTTGCCATGGGGGTTATTATGTTGAATATAGTTGACATTCTTACTTTCAGTTTTTTTGTTTTAGTAGGCTAGATATTTTTTATCTTAAGTCTTAAGTTAAGTGTTCAAATTTGATAACTTAAACCTTTGTAAAAGTTATCATAGTTAGATCTTTTTAATGACGGATTGTTAGTTTAAGGAGGTGGAAAACATGTCTATGTAATCCTATAAATACCTCAAGTATTGTATGAAAATGTATGCTTCAATCTTCTTTCTTAATCTTC